GTTTTTTCTGCAAAATTTTTTTTTGTAGAAAAACCGCTGTTGGTAATAAATTACAGTGAGCCAGATAACAGTGCGCCAAATGTGCAGATTTTATTTCTTTTGCAACTGAATGGACGAAATACTCGGCAGGTAAGCAGAGAAAAATCTTAAAGCTGATTGATTATGTAATATTTATTTCAAAAAATAAGGATCGCAATTGGTAATAACTGCAGATTTATGTGTTGTGGTTTAAATTTTATTCATTTTTTGTAATTGAAACATTTTTTCAGGTGAACCGTCTGTTGCGGATTATTTATTCACCAAAACATTATTATATAATACATGTTGACAGCCGACAACAATATATGTTTGAGGGTATTTTTTGGAATCATTGTTTTGTAAATTTTTTTAATGGAAATTTAAATATTTCTTTTTTATCTATAATGAATTTATTTTTAATTACTGTAGATAATTAGGAATTTGCATCATATATATCATGTAAGGACTTTGGAGCTGTTGCAAATCTAAATTGGAATGACTCGTTGAATTTTTTATCTTCCAATAGCTGATTTCTTTTCAAATCATTTTCGTTTTTGGTTACAGAGATGAACAAACTTGTTGCCAGTATTCGTAAAGCAGGTTACGCGAACATTTATTTGATGGAAAAACGTTATGCAACGATTTGGGCAGGTGCTACATTATTATCCATGATTTTGGATGTACTCAAAACAGCTTTGTATTCTCTGAACTGGAAAAGCTGGGATTTCATGCTGAATTTAAGTGAAAGCAATTTTCCTGTTCTTTCAATGGTTGAATTAGAATTTCATTTGGCAAAGTATGTTTTTACCAGAACTTCATCTTCTAGATTAACGTAAACAGTTCTTCTTTTTTTTCCTCTGAGTGATAATTTTTCTGTTCAGTACAATTCTCATTCTTCTGTTATAGTTAATGAATCTTGGAAAATTCCACATAATTTGAAATGTTACACATACATCAATGTAAAAGTCAACTTGCTTGCTAAGTCGGATTAATTTTCATATAATGGCTAGATCATTTTGCATTAATTCACTCGAGATTAAAATTCGTTTATAGAAATAAAGGACGAATCTTTCTGAGCAGTCATGGTTATGACACCGCACGATTCATTGAAAAACAGGGATTAGAATATGTATTTATGCAGTGTGAAAATCGAATGTGGCTTCTGATGAAACGGTTAATTGTTTCTTTTGCTTTGCAGAGATAAAAATTTTGAAATTGATAAGCTCATTTTTAGTTTCAGTTTTGACAAATATAGATTCCATTTTAAATTACTTGCGTTAAGTAAAGACTAACTTTTTTTCATCAGGAGGACTTAATTAAGGAGGAGTCTGTTGTTATTTTACAAGCTCTAAAATATCATTTTTGGATAATTAAGAATGAATAAGGAAGAACGAATCTTATGGAAAACTGTTGATAATTTATGCAGGACAAAGTTTCCAAATTCGATTCGTTTGGATGGTGGCTCTGATTGGGTTGTTATCAGCCGGGATTTTGCTGAATACGCCTTATCTGATGAGGAATTACCTTTAAATTTTCGAAAATTTTTCGCCAATGTTCTGTTACCAGTTGAAACTTTTTTTCACACTGTGGGTGAATATTTATTTATTCATTGCTTTCAAAAATTATAATATTCGCCAAAAATAATTGTGGAAAAATTATTTTCATTGAAGTCAAATCTTTTTATCTTACAAGATTGACTTTGAGAAAAATTGATTTTTTTCACACAGAATGATTTTGACAATATTTGGAAAAAATAGGTTTACCATAAATATCTCACCTTTTGTATTTTTGAATACAATTTTGCAGCAAAGTTTATTGTAATATCAATTGTTAGAATATTATTAGGAAATAAATTTTTCTGCTGATTAAATGCTGGTGCTTTGAAATACTTATATTGATTAATAAATTATCTGGTTGCAGCTAGCAGCTAACTCGAAATTTTGTATGCAAGTGGTAAAAGGAAATTTGCATTTAACAAACTGGAAACGTCGACAGGGTTGCCGCTGTGCAGGATTGAAAAAAATTGTGGATTGGTGTGGTTGTTCGCCTCTTGCTTTTCGTTCTTCTGATATCTCAAAATTTTCAATTGAGGTATTGTTTGCGTAGATTTGTTTTTATGATTTTATCCAATATAAATAATCAAATTTTGTTTCAGTAGAATCTGAATTCTTTAAAATGACGAACAATTTTGCAGACTATCCAAAATAGGGTGGTATTTTTCGGTCGCAAATTCGATTCAATGATAAGTCAGCAGGCTATTGCTATTGCTGAAGCGCAAGCATTACGATTTACTGGTAGTATCAGTGATAACACTCATCCATCATTTAACAAATCCTGGATAAATGTTTATTTATCACCATTCGATCACTCAGGTAATACTTATAAATTGAAAACTTGAAAAATTTTTTATGAAGAAGAAGTTATTTACAGTTTTTTTTTTCTTCTCCATAAATGATTTATATAAATAACTGAAAATTTATTAGTTTCTTCACGATAGGATTAATGATAATATACCGATATAGTATCATTTATATACCATGGAAAGAAGCTCGTATTATTTAATTTTTAACTTTTTAAATTTTTTAATCATGCGATCAATGAACCTTGCGCTATAGAGATGTTCATGAAAAAGTTGGAGTTTTTTTTTTGAATAAGATTGTATTAAAAATTAGATTTTCAGTGTTATTGGAAAGCTTTGCTCGTACATTATTGCCTTATCAAAAAAATCGAGATTGTATATTTGGAAATCTTTCATCAATTATTGCTTATAAAGAAAACGATGAAGCACATATTCAGAATATATATCGATCATCTTACATATGTAATAATAATAAAATAGAATTTATTCAAGTGCTAGTAGAATCATTCAATCCAGTAAAATTTATGAATGCAACTGTCGATGGTTACGAACTGAAAGGTCTCGAAATTGGTTCTGATTTTGATCTCAAAGAAGAAATTTTTCGGAAATATCATAACGTTTTATCGGAGGTCTTTTTTTCATTTTCTTTTAATAGATAAAAATTTTCTATTGACTTGGCTGCTTCCTATGCAGTTAGTATTTATGATTTTATTACAGTTTGTATACTTAAAATTATAATAACCATTCAATTAATAAATAGTAAAATATTGTCATTTTTTCTTGGGATCATTTTTTCTTGAGATTATTTTTTTCCTGTATCAAATTCTTACATATGCGAATAATCATCGTTGATCGTTCGTATTATGAATTGCATTGTTTGTTGAATAATTCAGGAAGATACGATCTATGCAAAATTGCAATGGCGAAGGATTGAATCGTTATCAACTTCTGTACACCAAAATTTCACTAGCCCTGAAGTGATAGTAGAATGGAAAGATCCGTCAGATTTTCTTGTCAAACGAACAAAAATGAATTCGTATGATTCCATATATGGTACACAGTATACGGAATTATTTGCAAATGAAACAACGCCTGGTGAATGGACTGCGGAATTCGTTCGTATGGAAGATCACATAAGTACTATTATTGGTTCAATAAAATTTATAATATTTTCAACAACTGATCGGAATATTGATAATGATACAATATCCAAATATTTTCGCCGTATTGATTTTTGCTCGGAAGCTAACGTTGATGATTTACCGAATTGTCTTGAAATATCATGGAGTGCAAGTTATTCAGATTTGAAGTCTCGTATATTCGTTGATCCTGTTTGATATTGTTATCTTTCATTTTGTTTGTTGCTCATGTCATATTTACAAAATTAGGAATTTGAATATTTTTGGAATTTTAGGGATTTTGCAAATTTTTCAATTTTGAAACTCAAAATTTTTAATGGTTACTGTTTATATTACTACTTCAACGTTCAACATTTTTCGCACTTTTCGTCTGATCGATATTTGGCTAGTTGTTGCTATATTTATGCTAATACTTATTAATGATCTTTGATTAATATTTAAAACCATCACTGCTTACATTCGATTAATGAATACATTGTTTTAACGTAACATTTCCTTCTTCCTCTTTTTCATTCTCATTCTCTTTTTTTCTTTCTTTCTCTCTTTCTCCTTGTTTTTTCCGGCGCTGATGTCAACTTTGACTTTATGAATCAAATCAATAAATAAGAAAGTTAAATATGTCTAAATTGAAAAGTTCCAGCACTCATAATCAGATCTTTCATTTCAATTCTAATAATGTAATATTCACTTTTGGTGCTAATTTATCATATCGTTCTTACACAAATCAAATGAATTCTTTTGATATGTGAGCAATTGCGTAAACAATTATACAAATGGCAGCGATTTCCTCAATGAAAAAAGTGAAGGACAAAAAATCCAATGAAATTAAAATTTGATCATGTAAAATTATAAAATCAATAATTTAAAAGTGAAATTCATACAATTAGTACTTGCAATATTAATTATTAATCTTTTCACATTCACAATAATGAATAACACTGTGTTCATTTAGCGAAATAATAAGTACAGTATGATTTCTCATAAAATGAAAAATAGAAGCTAATAAGTGAGATAAAAAAAGGCAAAAAAAAAAAATGATAGAAATGGGAATGAATCATTTGACTTTATTAATTCTCTCAACCGTCATTAATCATCTTGGCGAATATCAAAGCTAACGAATCATATTTGCTACGAATTATTCTTTTATAGATCGAATTTCAATCTATTTAATCATAAATTTGTTGAGAAAAAGTGAATAAAATTTTCTTTTTGACTTAAATTTCGCTTTATGCAATGATAATAATTATTTAATGTTTGTCCGGTTAAATTGGCTATTATAGTTTTTCATTTCTAGTAAATTTAATTTGTTGTTACTGGTTCTTGAGAAATCGATCGATTGGATATAAATCTGTTACATACAATTGTTATACGCTAATATTTGTAAAAGATTACTAATTAAATGAATCCAATGAAAACAAATATTGAATTTTTTGTTATATTTATTGGAATTATATTTACCAGAAACTGGAACGAATATTGATTGTTTCGTTATATCGAAATTGTGTTTATCCAAAAATAGGACAGATGTTAATTATTTTGTTACATCGGAATTATATTTATCCGTAAATGGAGCGGATATTAATTCTTTTATTGTACCGGAATTATATTTCCCATAAAATGGAACGGATGTCGGGTTATTTTGCTATATCAGAATTATATTTAACTAAAAATAAGATTAACAATATTAGATTAAGTTTTATTCCTATAGAATAAAAAAGAAAGCAAAAAACGAGGTATTTTTATGAAATCAAAAAAAAAAAGAAAAATAAATTAAACTATTGTACCATTCTAAATTGAAGAAAAGAAACATTTCTAAAAATTTTACAAAATTTTCAAAAAGTACAAAAAACAAAAATTACAAAATATTTTATGGGATACAGAGAAAAATTGACTAAAATCCATTGTATTATTATAAATTTTGCAAGGATTAAAAGAGAAGAAATTTTTAAAAATTTCATAAAATTTTCAAAAAGTGCAAAAAAACAGGAATCATACATTAAAAATTGACGTATATTTTTATTTGAAAGGGAAAGGAATTTTAAAAAAGAGGGAAAAAAGAATTTCTTTCAATTCTCTAATGACATTATACAAATATAAATTACGTACAAAATATATTTTTCAGATTGAAAAATTTCTTTTTCTTTCTATGCAGTTTGAAAGTGAAAACTCCAACCGAGTAATTGGAATTGGTGTTGAGTTTGAAGTTTTGTCCTTGTCCTCAAAAGTGTAAAATGAAATTTGCATAAATTTAGGTCAAGTATTGATATTTTCGTCATTCTCCTATCGCATACAACGATCATCAATTTCAGCATTGAGTTCATTTTCTGAAAGCCAATCAAATCTTCTCCGATTGGCCAAATGTCATAGAATTCCCAATAGGTTAAGGCTTTTGGTACCAGAAGTCATCGACCCTATCCTATCATATTTTCCATCCATTTTATTATAATTTAATTCCTTTACACTTGTGAATAAATGGAGTATTAATAAGATTCGGCAAGCTTTTTGCTTGCATCTACAAAGGGAAATATATCATCTTAATGTGTTTGCCGTGCATTTTAGGTTTTATCATTTAATAAATCTACAATTATTGCATATGCATATATTGAAATTTTATTTTACTTCATATTAAATTATTTCATATTCGTTATTCAAATATTACTAATAAGAAAATTATGATATTATTGATATTCGATGTGTAAAAATTATTTGTGCAGCAAAAACGAGGAAAATACAAGCGGTTTTTTTTCGAAGAGAATTTTTTTTTTTTTTGAATATTAACTGATTGATCGAATGGTGATAAATATTTGTCGTAGAATTGTTAAGAGATTAATAACTGCCATCACTGATAATGTTAATAAAGCATAATGCTTGCGCTTCAACAATGACAATATTTCGATGATTTTTTATTAGTTGATGTAACATGTGTAACATATATCTTTAAGCATTTAAATATTGAAGTTATTTGTTATTTAAATATTGCCAGTTAATAAATTAAGTACCAACAAAGATGTCATTAATGGCATATGTCATTAATAGCAATGTATGTCTTTAAGTATTCGAATATTCAAGTTATTCTATACTGTTTATTTAAATAATGATTGTTAACAATCCAGTTACAACAGAAATATCACTAACAATGCAGCATACAGGCAAAAAAAACATGACAAATTAATTTCTTCACCTGTGGCAATTTTTCAAAATAAATTGAATATTAAATTCCTATTCAAATAATTATATATGCTGAATATTTTTTCACTTTCAAATTACAAAATTCTGCAACGGATACAGAATTTCTGACCAATAATAATGGGGAAGCGTTTATGTGATTGTTAAATTTTTTCCTTTTTTTTCATGGTCTACAAATAATTATTTTAAAAATTGTCATGACTGTAATTGACATTGTTAAAATTGTGTAATTTTAAAACACGATCGATATTATAATTAAGGTAATATGATTTTGGCAGATAAAGTTTTGCGTTCAGTTAATAAATATATCGTCATATTACACAAAGCTTTTAAATGTATAATTTAAATGATCTATCATACTATTTATAGGGTTTATTTCAAATTCTATAACAGCAGTTGAAATAAAAAGAAAGAAATAAAAAACAAATTTAGTGAAATTATCTCTGCTATTTCATTATCATTAACATTTTATCTTGACAAATGAGGAAAAAATAAACATCTGTGCTTTTTTCTTAACCAGGAAAAAATTTTTTCCCTACAAAATCTATTATTTTCAAAAATTTAAAAATTTATTCGTAATTGATCATAATTGCATCGCCCAAAGCTTAAAAAATTTATTTACTTTCCTCATTTTTTCTATTTTTTAATTGTTATATTGTTTTGATAACATAAACTTACTTTTCAACATTTCCCTTGAATCGCAGTTTTTCTTTCCTTTATTATTATTATCATTTACAGTCATTATATTATTATTGTTACTACATCACTATCAATATTGTTATTAGCACCATCAGTTCTACTGTTTCTAATTTAAATTTATTTTTGAATTGCCTTTTGATTAGACGATTCAAATTTTTAAACAAAAAATTTGATAATTTTCTATATATACATTAAAAGCTACCAAGCACATGTATAAACAATCTGGCGTTGACTAAGTTGTTTAACATAAATTCTTTGATTGTTTGACTCAGATTTAAATAGTTGATTATACTGATTTTAAACTGATAAAACAGTGATGACAATAATGGCAATAAGAGTAGTTATAATGGCAGATTGTGATGGCATG